GGGGGTCTGCGGTGTTACAGGAGCGGCAACCACACAAAGTTCAAAAAAAACTGCGTACTTCGACATCCTTAAAGACCGGTCCGACAGTCCATCGGCAGGCGGAACATTGACGAGGGAAGCATCTCTACCAACCTACCGACGAAATAACCCTAGGATCGAAGCAGGTCTATGAGACTCCATGCAACATCTGACGCGACCCTAAAGCTTCAATCCCAAGCATTCATCTGCGAGACACCCCCAAGGCTTTGAGCCAAAGCCACACAAAACCCTCTAAGGCCCCAAGCCCTATGCCCTAAACCCTTAATTAAACCCCTAAACCCCTAAATCCCTAAATCCCTAAACCCCTAAACCCCTAAACCCTAAACCCGAAACCCCTAAACCCCTAGACCCCTAAACCCTAAACTTTACATCCTGAACCCTAAACACTAAACCCTAAACCCTAAACCTTAAGCCCTAACTTCCAAGACCTGCCTTAGCACCCCTACGCGGCAACCCTAACACCACAAACCCCAAAGCAGAAAGGTCTCAACCTTAGGGTTTACGGTTAAGGGCTTAAGGCTTAGACTTTGCCGTGGAATAGCGCTCAGGCGATAGTGTCTTGCGCCAAGGTTGTGTCGAGTCTATAGAGGGCTTTTCCTGTTTCTTTTCCAGCCCACGCCGCCTAAGGCGGCCAAACCACCCAAACCTATTCCGTTTGGGGTTTAAGCCTAAACTCATGCCATCGCGCGTTTTTCTTTTAGGACAGGACAGGGCACAACACAACAACGGCGGGGCAGGAGGGCAGAAGGGCAGGGAAGGGCAGGGCAGAGCAGAGCAGGGCAGGCAGAGCAGGGCAGGGCAGGGCAGGGGCAGAGCAGTTAGGGGTTTAGGGTTCAGGGTTTAGGGTTTGTCGTGAAATAGCACGCAGGCGACAGCGTCTTGCGACAAGGTTGTGTCGAATTTAGGCTTACCTAAACTGCAGGGCAGGGCAAGGCGGGCAGGACAGCGCAGGGCGGGGAAGGGTCTTTGGTCTGGAACGCAAGGCTCCCAGCCCCCCCATCCCCCCCTCAAAGTCCCATTTTGGGGGGTCAGCACCCGGACACTCAGCCAGGCTCGTGACTCTATTGAGGGACCAGCACTGGTTTCGGGGAGAACGTGTTCGGGTACGATGTGGGCGGGCTTTTCGCGATCGGTTGCGAGGGGCAAACGCCGCCAACCCACACTAGGTGGACGGCCTATGCCTTGAGCTTAAGCTTTTAGGGTTCAGGTTTTAGGGTTTGGGGGTTTAGGGTTTAGGGTTAAGGCTTGACGGGTTTAGGGTGTAGGGCTTAGGGTCCATAAACCCAAAGGACTAAATTAGTCCCAACCCCCAAACCCTTCTTCACTTCTAAACCCTAGCCCTGAAACCCTAAAACCTAAATCTTTACCCACACCCCAAATCTTAAAACCAAAACTAAACCCTCAACCCTGAAACCTTAAAACCCCAAAAAACGTAAAGCCCTAAAACCCCTAAACCCTAAAGACAGCCCGAAACCTGCTCTGCTGCAGCGGCACCGTCGCCCGCGAACATGAAGTTTTCGATCTTCAAGTCACGGTGGACAACCTGCAGGTTTAGGGTGTTAGGGTTTAGGGGTTCAGGGTGTAGGGTTTAGGGTGTTAGGGTTTAGCGGTTTAGGGGTTTAGGGTTTAAGGTTTGCCGCGAAATAACTAGGCGACAACATCTTGCGACACGGCTGTGTCGAGTGCATCATACTATGGCGATGAGCTGTGACAGCCTGCTTATAGAGGGCAGGCAGGGGCAGGGGCAGGGACAGGGGCGAGAAAGGGCAGGTAGGGCAGGGGCAGTGTTCGGGTGCCCAAAAACTTCCAGCGAGAACTTGTTCCTCAAAGATCTCGAATGCAGCAGAATCCACAGCAGACTACGTTGATGGAATGTTCAGCTTATTAAAGCAGCCGTTAAGCACGAAATAGTTCTTATATAGTCTCTATTTAAGGCCACTGCTGGTTGCGTGCCTGTGGATGTGCAGCAGGCACCGCTGTATCCGGACCGAAAGGAAAGCTGCAGAGCACAGCTCTCCGTTTCTTCACTTCTTCGATCGCTTCGGCTGCCACACTTGCTCGAAACTGGTATCCAGCAATGCTGCATGCAGCTCTGGTGTCCAAGCCTGAGAATCAAGCAAGATTCCAGTGCTGCATGCAAACAGGTGGGAGAGAGCACGAGTCGGCGGCTGCATCTGCATCTGCACGTTTGTCTCGCACTCTTCGTTTCGGTTCTGCGCCCTGCTTGAACTTCACTTTGCGGCCTTCTTTCCTTTTGCTGCAGAAGGCTTTACAGCCGCAGCCGGATGGCCTGTTCTTTTGTTCGAGGAGTCCTCCTTTTTGGAATCACCGTCTTGCCCGGCCTGGCACGCTTCATTTTTTCATCTCCTTCTTGGAAGAAGCCACCGGCTCGCCAACGTCACTGTGCACACTGGCCCCGACCTCCCTTGCCTCCTGCTGCTCTTGCATCAGCTGTTGCTCGGCATTTGGCGCCGCTTCGAAATCATCCAAATGGTCGGCCGGTTCGTTGCATCTCTCCAATGCCGCTTGCACGTCCTCTTTCGTCGCGTCGGCTTGGAAGCGATGTCCTGAGTCCCAGAACATTGCAATCCCTGGAAGGGGTGGGTTGCTCAGGACAGCTGCGGAGGCCCTTGAAGTTTAAATCATGCAATACCCCTAAACACGCTTGTTTCGGCCGAGAACCCTGTGCTGCCCAAGATATCCTTTGTTTTTCTTGTGGCGCGTCCAAAGTTCAAAGGAAGTCAAAATGTGCCACAATGCATCCAGCCGGGTTCGGAGCCCTGGCCCGTGCAGACCAAACTGCCTGAGCCCCGTCAGCGTGGATAGTATCCCTCAAATGAGCCCCCAGGAAGGTTGCCAACACAGGATGGACCTGTCTACAGGCACCCGCTTAAGAACGACTGGTGTTCTGTGCATGGCTTGCTCTTTCGTGCGTCCACGCCGTCGCAACACCATCTTTCAACGAGTTTCCTCATAAACTTGCTCGTTGAGGGCCTGACAGGCGTTGACATCTGGCTCATTCTCCAGCTCCTTCAACACTGCATGAATGCAAGCGGGTCGATAGGCTCGGCAGGTGCTCGTACAGCTTCACGATACTCCGCGTCTGTTTTGTCTGGCAACTGAGACTTCAAAATAACATCCTTGGTTGGACATTGGATGTGGCAACTATGCTGCAAGACTCAGGTGATTCCAAACACATTGTCGCACAAGGTCCGCCTCAAGGAACCGTTCAAGAGAAATTGTTGTGACAACGTCTGATTGTCGCACATTCGCTTGAGAAGAAAGCCTTCCTTGAGCAGTTTGTGCCCGCTGGTGTCGCCTGGGCGCCACTTCAGCTACCAAAGGACCAAAACATCTAAATAGCAACACGAACGTGCTCACACATACAGTACTGCCCAGGAATACAGCTGACTGGCACTCCCTCAAAAGGCTCGCGTTCTCCAGGCTGTCGCAGCTCGGTGCAACAGGCAAAGCGAACCCTGTCCACAGTCGGGTCTGTGGGCAGACGTGCGCACCAGGCTATGTTTGCAGAGCCGTCTCACATGTCATTTGCTAGCGCTGGCACAGCAGGTGTTGCAAACATACTGTTCGGTGTGCCAGTGGCAGGTCTGCGTCACAGCAGGGCGCGGCCCGTGCTTGCGTGCCCTACAGCGCAAGACTTGTTCAGAGCCGTGCTTTATGCAGTGCATTGCTGATGTCAGACTCGCAACAAGTCTTGCCGTTTCCTGCAGCCTGGTACTAGTGTCAGGAATCGCCTAAGAAACGTATTTGTAAACACATACGATCACAGTGGTCCCATACCAGTGCTCACATACCGAATCTGCCGAACGCAACTCCAGCCACAAGCTCAAACTCTCTAAAGCGCAGAAGCCTGCTCCCAGACATGCCGCATGACGAGGTCTGTGGTCAAAAACGCGTAAACAGAACGAGTCATCGAGCCACAGAGGTTTCACGCCATGCTCTGAACAAGACCAAGTGCCTGCAACACCCACGGCTGCTAGTCACTGCTATACTTAGTGCGAGCTTCGGGCAAGCATGCCATCCGCGCACAGGTTGTGCTCAGACATGACTTGCTGATCATCTGTGCATGTGAAACCGCGAAGCATGGTTCCTGCTACTATGGTGCCCCATGTGTAGAAGAAGCAAAAGCACTAGTCACTTGTCCATAGAACAGATCAACACCTCCCGCTCAGCGGAAATGAGATTGCGGCAGAGCCCCACCAACGGCCAGCGGGCCCAGCGTCCCGTACCTTGTGGCAGAGACCCAGCAAAGACAGCCTGCCCGAGGGGTTGCGGCAGAGCCCCAGCAGTCAGCCCGTGAGAGGGACCAAAGGCTGACTCGGCCTACTTGGAGGTTCATGGGTAATTACAAGTAGGGTTAGTCCCCTAATATGGATAATTACCCTACTTATAACCCCACTTATAACTACCCATGAAGTCCCTGGAAAAGTAGGCAAGCGCTCGGTCGCCCGCCTGGGGCTCCCTCGCAGGGTCTCGCTGATCGCTCGACCAGTGACCGCTTACCCCAAAAAGACGAGGGGTGGCGGGCGGGTTTCGGGGTTTCGGCATTGAAGGGTTTGGGTGGTCCGGCGCTTTGGGTTCATGGTGAGGGGTAGAGGCATGGCCCACATTAGGGGTCAGGGTTTGGGGTTTAGGTAAGGTTTTTTGGGCTTAGGGTTTTAATGATTTGGCGTTTAGGGGTTGGGGTGCATATCGAATTTTTAGGGTTTGGAGTTTGGGTCATTGGGGGTCATTGGGTTTAAGGTTTCGGGTTTGTGGAAGAGTGGGGCCCAGAAAAATGCTGTACTGAGCTGTGGCCTGCAGAAGAACTGGACTGTAGAACAACCCCGACTTGTCTGTATCGTGGGAGCGAGACAGAGAGAGAAAGAGACACAGAGAGAAGCAGAGGGAAAGGGCGAGAGCTTGCGACAGAAACTCAGAATCCCCGCACGCGCCCGCACCTTCATGGTGTGCAAGTAGTACACGCCGCCTGAGCACGGCATGCGATTCGGCCCCCTCAACAGCAACCCAGAAATCCTGTGACAAACGCGAGACTCTTAATCGTGAAACTCCGAAGGCCTCAAGGCCCTGGAACCCGAAACGCGTAAAGAGAGACTGAACCCGAAACCCTAAACCTCTAAACCCTAAACCCTGAACCCTGAACTCGAAACCCTAAACCCTCACACCCGAACCCTCCATTTTGAGGGCCCCAGGTCTTCAAGCATGCGATCCCCAACCAGAGACCTTAACCCCCTGAACCCCAGCAAGATAGGGTTTAGGGTTTAGGCCTCAGGGTTTAGAGTTTAGGGTCCAGGGTTCAGGGTCTAGGGTTTAGGGTTCAGGGTTTAGGGTTCAGAGTTGGGGTTCAGGGTTTAGGATTTAGGGTTTAGGGTTCAGGGTTTAGCAGCTGAAAGGGGTTGGGGTAAGTAGCACGTTACCTAAACCCCAAACCTCAAACCCTGATCTACGGCCGGCAACCACATCGCCCTTGCAACGAGCTGCGGAAGATCTGCTGCATGATAATGGCCGCTTGTCCTTCCTTGCAAGATGGCTTCGGGTATACCAAAAATTGAAACTGGAAGCTCAAAACCCCTACCGTCCTGCAAGTTCAGGCATCTAGCTGCGTGGTGTGCTGTTCGTAGTACACCCCAACCCCTAAACCCTTAAACCCTGAACCCTTAAACCCCAAACCCTTAAACCCTAAACCCCTTAAACCCTAAACCCTTAAACCCTAAACCCCTTAAACCGCTTTCTGGGTCGAGAGTCGAAGGTTCGGCCCCAGCCCCGTTTCATCCTGTGAGCCCTAAACACACCCGCCCCACCCCCCCCTCCCCGCCAAACCCTGAACCCTAAACCTTCATAGCGCCCCACAGAACTGTTCAAGAATCCATACAGAACCACTGTGAAAAGAAAAACGAAACTAAACCCCTAAAGGAAAAAAATAAACTCAAAACAAATAAAAACTTAGAACCCACCACAAGAAATCTCCAGAATCCCGGAGCGGTCAAGGGTCGGTGAAGTGGCCCGCTTCGAGCAACCGGTCGAAGAGCTCGCCGCCCTTGCAGTACTCCATGACCTCAGCCAGAGGCCTCTCTAGTAAGAGCTTTATGATAGGAGTTTAGGGTTTAGGACCTCAGTCGAGGGCTCTATATTAGGGTTTAGGGTTTAGGACCTCAGCCCGAGGGCTCTATAGTAAGAGCTTTATGATAGGAGTTTAGGGTTTAGGGTTTAGGACCTCAGTCGAGGGCTCTATACAAGGGTTTAGGGTTTAGGGTTTAGGACCTCAGTCGAGGCTCTATAGTAAGAGCTTTATGATAGGAGTTTAGGGTTTAGGGTTTAGGACCTCAGTCGAGGGCTCTATATAAGGGTTTAGGGTTTAGGGTTTAGGGTTTAGGACCTCAGTCGAGGCTCTATAGTAAGAGCTTTATGATAGGAGTTTAGGGTTTAGGGTTTAGGACCTCAGTCGAGGCTCTATAGTCAGAGTTCTATGATAAGGGTTTAGGGTTTAGGACCTCAGTCGAGGGCTCTATAGTAAGAGTTCTATGATAAGGGCTCTAACATAAAACTTCCATGATAAGGGCTCCGTAGCAAGTGTTCTACAATAAGGGCTCTATTGTAAGAGTTCTACAATAAGGGGCTCTATAGTAAGAGTTCTATAGTAATAGTAAGGGCTCTATAATGAGAGTCCTATAATATGGGCTCTATAAGGGCTTGGGTTTTCGAGATCTATACAAGAAGGGTTCCAGAAGGATGGTTTCGGGTTTGGGGTCCAGGGACTAGGGGGTGCAACGTTGAAGGGCAGGGAAGTCGGGTTTGGGGTTTGGGTTTGGGGTTTAGGGCTCTCTTCAACATCGAAAGATTCCCGCTTGGAAATTAGCGGCGCTAGGGTGGCATGGCTCAGCCCTGTGGGGCACGAGTTCTACAGCAAAGTCCACAGGCTCCCTCCATCCACGGTCCAGTTAGAAGGTACTGCTAGAGTCACAATCGAAACTACCTAGTAACTTAGTATGTACCCGTTGCCAGTTCGCAGGTAGTAGATAGTACGGTTGATGATATAAATCCTGCATTACCCATAATAAGGACTATATAACATAATTCCTACAGTTCAGGGCCCTTACCGCAATGCAAGATTTATATCATCAGCAGTACTTCGCAGCTGGTGGTTGGTAGCGGGACTCGAAGCCCAAGAGCTCGCAAATAGCACTCCGGCCAGCGATTCCAGTTTGAAGAAATGCAGGGTCTCACGTTGGTATGCACTTGAGGGTCCCTACCTTACGATAAAACATGTGCAAGATAAAAACTATACTGTGCTGTATTGTACTGTAAAATGCCACGATATACGATAATGTGATATACTCTGACTGATACTATAATGAGCTAACATGTAATTGTTGAAAGGATGAGGTGTTCTGCTTGGCCTACAATTCGCCAACCACCCACGTGACACCCATCATCCCGCATGCGGTTCAGGGCTAGGCATTCAGGAGTTTAGGGGCTGGGGTTTCTGGTTCAGTATTTAGCACTGTCGGTTTTGGGCTTATGGTTTAGAGGGTTTGCTTCTTGGGGTTTGGGACTTAGGCTGGGTTTGGGGCTTAGGCTTTAAAAAACTTTGGGATTTTCGCTGGGTGTTGGGGGTCTGTTGATCCGAGTTGCGATGTACATGAACTTCCGATCCTGGTTTAGGGTTTAGGGTGTAGGCTTAGGGTCTAGGGTTGAGAGGGTTTTGGGTTTAGGGCTTAAGGATTAGGGTTTAGGGAATAAGGATAGGGTCGATGGGGTTTAGGGTTTAGGGCTTCGGATCCTGCAATGGCAACTCAGGGCCTCAAAATACGGACTATTTCATGAATAAGGGCCCGCAGAATCTAAACAGGGTTCTGGGGCATAGGGTGTCCGGTTTAGGGTTACGGTGAGTTTAGGTTCATTGGATCTTGGGGCATAGTAGACTCTAGTTGACAGAGTAGTACACTTGATGCTGCCTCTGTTTCAGCTGGCTCTCAGTCGTGTGCCCTGTGAGAATCAAAAAACTTAAAGGATCGTGGACTTGGTGAGCAGTGCTTTATTCAGTAGGGCGAGGAGTTTGGGGCTGTAGGGTTGGGGGCTATAAGGTTTCTTTGGGTTTTATGGGGCTAAGGTCAGGCTTCTCACCAACAAGAGCAGCAGCATCTGGATTGCTACTTCCCCTGCCGGGCCTCCAAGTGCAAAGTCTGTGTAACACCTTGAAAGCCCAAGCAAAGACCCCCTAATAAGTCAACGTAAACGCGAGGACGCCTCATAAATGGGACTGCGGTGCTAGTGCGCAGGAACCTAATTCAACCCTTTATCCCTACACCCTAACCCCCTACACCCTAAACCCCTACATCCTAAACCCTAAACCCCTGCACCCTAAACCCCAACACCCTAAACCCCTACGTCCTAAACCCCAAACCCCTAAACCCTAGAACCTGGGTGTGACGGCTTTCTGGCTCGAGAGCGTCCTCTGAAAGCCCCGCAAATACGTGCCTCGAAGTGCTCATACAGCTTGACGATGTGAGGGTGGTCCAGCCTCATCGTTCTGTTTCTGGCTTGAGATCTATTTAGGGTTTAGGGTTTAGGGATCTATTTAGGGTTAAGGGCTTAGGGTGTAGAGGTTTGGGGGTTTTGGGGTTTAGGGTTTAGGGTTTAGGAATCCAGATTTTTTATGCTGTTGGTACTAGCCATCATCACCATCTTCTTCCCAACGCGGCAAAGGGGTCTCATCCTCTGTCCAGCGAGCGCCTCATACAGCCTCTTTTTTAGGAGGTCGGCCATTCATGATGGCAGGCACTGGTGCCAATTTGGCGTCAGCAAAAGACTTGTGCGCCGGAGCGCATGCTTAATAAATCAGCGGAACGACATGTTATCAGCCGTGTGCCATGTATAGGTCCTAGAAAGTATGTACATGGCTTGCTGTACAGAGCGGCTTCCGACTCCTCAATCATCCATTGTCTCGAGAGCGATCTGTTGCTTCAGCTGGAGGGTCCACTGTGTTGAGCATTTGTTGCTCGCACTCTTTGTCGCGACGGTCGGCAACGTTTCGAGTCGCCGTACTCTGGCCTCCAGTCGAGTCAAGGTCTGCTGGAGAGCTTCCAAGCCCTGGGCCAATCCTTGTATCTGCATCTGGAGCAGGGTGACCCTGCTGGAAAACCAGTTTATGTCCTCTTCCCTTAAGGTTCTGGGCTGAAGATGGCCCCGGTCTGTCATCATGTATGCAATGTTCGGTATCGACGTGTGAGGCATCAATGGCTGCAGATTGCAAGTGAACTGATGCAAGCACGATCACGTACATGTTGGTGCTGACATGCTCGAGCTGCTGCAGGCTGAGCAGGCTGGGTGTTTTCTCGTCGTCCAAAAGCCAATGACATTCGCGGCTCTGCACTACCGTGGTGTAGTGTCCGGATGTGGGCTCGTCGCCATGGTGCTGTATATATGCTATGACAGTGTATGGTGTCCACTTGACCTCTAACGATCCTGGCTCACAGAAGATGGGCATGTTGAGGGTTTGGGGCAGTATGTATGCATGTTGCATCTTCACAGCTTTGCCCGCGGCTTCGTAGCAGAACCTGGGCAGTTGCAGGAAGAGCCATGAAGGCTGTGCCACAAAACCTTGCAGCTGCTGCTGCTGGTGCCACATTTGAATGGATGCTTGGATGTCAGGGTTAGGGTCTTCGGGATTAAGGGGCAATCGGATGCATTTGTGCACAGATGCCTGTGCTTTCCTCGTCAGGCCCTCTGCGGAAAGGTCTCTTGACTCCCAGTGACCTGAGATGACAGTGTGGATGAGCCTGGGGTGCAAGAAGTCAATCAGCTCCGCAACATCATGCTGACGTTGAGGCGCTGGCCATCCCAGAAGCTTAAACCCAATCAGACGACTTGCTTTGCTTGGTGTCTCTGATTTTTCCCAAAAACCTGATGGGCAAGGGATTCCATGCCGCAGTGGCGCATTGCAACAAGCAACCCATACAGAAATGAGTTGAGGTAGCAGCTGTTGTCACCTCCTTGCAGCCGGATATGTGGCAGCAGAGCTGGCAAGCTTTCGCCGTCAGTGCCCATGCCTGGGTTTATGGTGTTGGGGGTTAAGGTCGGGCGAGGCTTAGGGATGTCACAGCTTGAGGATGACACCTCGGTGGCGGTCCACGCTTCTGGTATACCATGTCTCCCAGGCGTTTGGCCATTGGCATGCAGGGCAGGGAGTCCTTCTTCATGGAGACCCCGATAAGGTTCAGCAGTGTGCATCCTGCTAACTTCTCCAGGGTCTCGTAGATTTCCTGCGCGACTTGCCCCCGAAGGGACACTTCCAAATGGAAGGTGGCGATCTGGGCCCCTTGCTGTTCCAGTATGCCCAACTGTTGTGTCGCGGCAAACTTCTGGATAGCCTCGCCTTTCAGGTTCTTGAGCAGAAAGGTTAGGAGCCGGATGGCTTCTGCATGTTGCAGGGCTGTGCGATCCTTGTCGACCTGTAGTCGCTTCTCGGCATGGTTCCATTTGCGATAGTTCCATGCTCCCTCGCTCGTGAGCCATTCTGACTGTACATGTTTGGCCTTGGAGTCCTCGGTGGCCACGGCTTGCTGAGCAAGGTTCATCACTTCGCGGATCATGCTGGCGAGGAGGATTGTGCGAAGCGGGGATTAGTTGTCCCTCGTCCATGTTCTTCTTGTTCCGCCAGTCCTTGGCAATCTTCATAAGGGTGCCGAGGGTGCCGTTGATCTCGTTGCGCATGAAAAGCACGAAGATCTTCTCGTGACGTAGCCGGCTGATGACTTCCTCCTGCTTCAAAACCACCCGACTGAGGAGATTGATCTGGTCGTACATGTGGTGATGGGGCAGTTGGCGATTGTCGCGAGACGGCGGCTGCATCTGGTAGCTCATGTGGTGAGGGGGCAGTCGGCGAAGTGGCATGTTCCAGCGACCTGGTTGCTCTGGTCGGTGCCTCTTCTGGGACCTCGGGGGTAGGGTGTCCGACATGTAGAATTCCTCGGGGCCGTGGGAGTCCCAGTAGCTGGCGAAGATCTCCGCCTCTTCGTTCAGAAGAGAGCCTTCCCGGTCCCCGAGCATCCTGACAGTACAGCTTGGCAAGTGCCAATTGGATAAGTGGCGTGCACTGCTGTGTGTGCCTGTGAGGAGCGCCGACCGTATGGCCACACCAAATGCAAGCACTGTTCCTTCTAAGGTGGGACTTAAAGGAGCTGCACAGGTCAAGGGCTCGTTGGAGCAGGGTGGGGTGTTCAGCAGCATGAGTGCGGTTGAAATGTTGCTTGACATGACGAAAGGATGCTATCCACATGTGACAGATGGCACAATGATTGTTGAGCTCCTGACGGACAGCTGTCATTGCAAGCCACTTCTCAAGGTTCTCAAATCCGGCAAGAAAGGCTTCACGCTGCACTAATGGTGTGTGCCGATTGTTTTCTCCCTCAAAAATTGGGAGCTTCGCTGTCGGCGGCACACGAATCGGCGCTGGGATGGCATCTGGCACGGGTGAGCGGGAGTTGCTAGCCCCTCCTAGAGCTGAGCAGGCACTACTCTCTATGTGCTGTCTAAGATGAGTCCACCTGAAGAACTGGCGATTGCAGAGGCGGCAGGCCGGCATTCCCGCCTGAGAATGGACTGCGGGGTCCAAGGTTGTGGGGATTTTTGTTTGGATCTGAGGAAGGTGCTTGTGCTGGAGACTGCAATGTATTCGCATGGCATTCTCCGTGGGGAAGGCCTGATCGCACTTAGGGCAGTTGACTAGCGGCAGGCTGGAGGGCTCAACTGCAAGTGTTTTGGCAGCCTTCTTCAGGATGTCCTCCATCCGGTTGGCTTGCTGTGCGAGGAACTCCAGGGCCTGAGGTGTGGTGGTGATATCCGGGGAGGTGGAATGTTTGTGGAGCAGCCTTTGGTGGTGCACATGTAGAGAGTGCTGCAGCTGCCAGCCCGGCTGGGGTAAGTTGGCCTGAGACCAAACGGCATGATTCGTGACATGCGTCAGATGTGCTGGGACTCGCAAAATGGCTCTCAAGTGCCGGGTAAGGAGGGCGGTGAGTCGATGTAATGAATTCGAGGTGACCCCCACAATGTGTTGCGAGTAGAGCACACTGGTACACACGCACGCTCGCCACAGCCGAATCCGATGTCGGGTATCAAGATGGTGGGAGCCGTTCAGCAGCTTTCTCAACCCTTGATAGCGTTGTTGGCAGGCCTTGATCCTGTGTGTCATGTTCCTATCAAGGCGATTGGTGTATGTAACGACTGTGCCAAGGTACTCATGTTGATCCTTAATTGGAATGCTGCGCTCTGTGCCATGAACCTGCAACTTCAGGTGGAGCTGCCCAGCCTTCATGAAGGTGTGGTCGCGGCGAATGCGACTGGCGTCCTTGCCCGTGAGCTTGAGAAGGATAGCAGTTTTGCTGTAGTTGATTGTCATGTTCAGGCTCTCTAAGGTGGCTAGGATCAAGCTAACATCCTGGAGGGCTTGCTCAAAATCCGTCTGACTGGTGATCAGCCAGGCACCCCAGACGTCGTCCGCAAAAAGCGATAACACCTGTTGGATCCATGCCAGGCTACGATGTTGCTGAAGAAGGGTGAGAAAAGCAAGGGTGAAGAAGTTCCAGAGATAAGGAGCTATGACACATCCTTGTTTGATGCCGTTGGTGCTGACAGTCGCACCCTTGATGTCTCCAACCTGAAATTTGTACTGGGCATCCTTGTGGAGTTGTTGCACAATGGTGATCACATCCTGTGGAACCTGGTGGGCTTGCATAGTCTGATAGATATGAGCTCTGGTAACCCCATCGAAGGCACGAGATAAGTCCAGAGAGATGCTTAAGCCCCCAGCACATTGGCGGCTACGAAGTCCGGCTTGTTGCTGGAAGCGGTTGGCCTTGGTCCGCTGGAGAAGACTGTCAACCTGGTGGAAATGGCTGTGTGCCTTGGCAATGGCATCTGCCGTTCCTCTCTGCTTGGCATAGGCAAACTGCGGCATGACCTGGAGCATGGGTTCCAAATGTTCCAACAGTGGAGCACGCAAACAGCCAGCAAGTGCCTTGCTAGCCGGGCTAGTGAGTCCTATTGGACGTAAGGATGCGACGTTGACGGGAGGCTTGTTGGGTTTGGGGATCCAGACGACATAGGAGTTCTTCCAATCGGCATCAAGTTGGGCGGTGGAGCCCTGCTTGAGGTGGCCTCGGAGAGCTGTGCTGAACAAGTCCCCAAGGGCTGCTGCACACAGTTTCCATGTGGCTGACGGTGCCACGTGCTTTGGAACAGCTTTGGCAGGGCCTATCTTCCGAAGCTCTGCTGCAAAGGCGGTTCCCTCTATGCAGTAATCATGCTGGAGAGGGATCAGTGGGGTGTCGTCTGAGTGAACGGCAAAAGTGCTGTTGCTGTGTTGCACAATCGATTGCAATTCGGCCTCCTTCGTGAGGAGGTTGCCTTCCGGGCCTCGGAGGCGACTGGCTTTGTGATGCACTTTCGGCGATAGCCTACGAACTATGAGGTACAGGCTTCTTTGATCTCCACGCTCTGCCGCGGCTTCTGCAATATCGACCTGTGACTCATAGAACTGTTTCTTGTAGCTTTTACTCTGTTGCTTGAGGCGGCGTGAGGCCTGTGCAAAGGCGGCAGCCAGGCGCCACTTGACAAAGATGTTGCGAAAGGTACACACACCTGGGTGCTTGAGACGGGAATATAAATCCCACACAGATTTGGCAAGGAGGCGAAAGCCTGGCTGAGCACTGGCCCGCTGGTCCGGGGCAATGGTGGGCGGGAAGAGACGACGAGTCTCCTCCAGCAGTATGCGGTTCACATGCTCGTGGGCACTGAGAAGGTGGCTGGTGTCCACCTCGACGAGTCGAGCAGTGACACGGCTTTGCAACTCCTGGGCGGCAGGAGCGTTTGCACACACGGCTTGTTGCAGGGCAGTAGAGTCATGGGCTGAAGTGGCAGAGGTTGTGGGTAGTTGTCGACGGAAGGATTGCACTGGTAGCTGAGCCTGGATTGGAAAGTGCCCGGTGAGTCGTGTGGCTCCCACTGGGAAGTGGTGCAGGGGATGTGCAGATTTGGCTTGGTGGTGGGCCTTGCACTGCCTAGTCAGGATGAAATCAATCTGCGACGCGCCTTGTGGTGCAAAGTATGTGGTATGAGCTCGGCAGTGCCACGTGTTAAGAGCAGTGAGGGCCTGTCTACGCATGAGTGCAGCAAGCTCTCGATCATGGTTATCAGCACAACGAGTGGCCGATGGGCCGGTCAGGGGACTGTCGGGTCCTAGGGTGGAGTTAAAGTCACCACAAACAAGTAGATCATGACGGACTGGCACTCGCTGCACTGTCTGCTCAAGGCTAGCCCAAATGGCCTGGCGAAGATCTTTGTTTTGTGTAGTGGTGAGATGACTTCTCCACACATGCTGGTAGATACCGATTAGGCTGAAGGGAATACCGGTGCGCCTATTGGTGGCCTGAACCAAAGCTAATCTGCCCGGCTCTAATTCCTGGATTCGGGGGTCCTGGAAGGTGCTGCGGCGGAGTAGGAACAACAGGCCAGATGATTTGCCGTGTTCGGCTGCCGCGGTCCTGCCAGAGGAGTGCAGAGCCATCCAGGGGCCCGAGAAGAAGTCACCGGTTTCTGCCCAGTGAGTTTCCTGTAGCACAATGGCATCGTAAGACATGTTGAGCTCACACCAGGCAAGTAGTTCCTGGAAGAGTGGGCCGCTTAGCCCGCTTGTGTTCCAAGATAGAACTGTCAGATGCCTCGCAGAGCTGGTGGCCTGTCGGCGTGTAGTACGTCGCGACCTGGTCGTGTTGGGGGTGGCGGGCAGGGGCAGACGGCCTAAAGTAGAGGTCGTGTGCCATTTACCGCGATACCACGTTCCTTGTTCAGCTGATGCATTGGCTCGATTCCGAGCCCTTCGGAAGGCTCTCTTGGCTGTCCTTAGGATGTTAACTGTAGGAGCTGCCTGTGACTGGGGTGCTGACGCAGTGTGATGCGCTGTTCCACGATGCTTCCCCACAGCCGTCGAGACGGCTGTGGGTCCCCCTCCTGCCGCGGTAACAGGAGGAACCCTCACCCCTCCAGCCTCCAATAGTGCGGTGATTATGATGCATATGCGGAGGCTGGTCCCGGACTTGGGACCGGGAAGGCCAATGTGATGAGGCTGCGAACTCCAACTTACAACCCTCCTGGGGGATCTATGAGAGAACCGTTGGGACCTACGGGGTATATCCCGGGAGAGGTCAACAGTGACGCTCTGAGCAGAAAGCGACGCTCCTGTAGCACAGTTGCCTGTTTCAGCAGCGGTCGCGGCGGCTCGGCTCTGGAAGATCCTGTGGGGTTTGCTTTTGTGGGGGTTTCTATGCTTAGGGTAACCACAAGGGAAGTGGGGATGCATATGTGCAGGCCTCTGGAAGGCAACGGCTCTGTAGCTGCGCGGCCGGCCCATTGCTCGAGACCTACATGTGTGGTCGCGGTGACCGAGACCTGGGTCGGGGCTCCTCTGCTGACGCGGGCCGTCGTCGTGGTCGTCTTTCATGAGTGGCCTCGAACTCAAAGGTCTGCCACTCCCGGAGTCTGTCTCCAGTGAGCCTTTGCATGGCCTCGTCTTGCAGGCTTTGCCAGTTGCAAACGTTTGTGCGTCGTCGCAAGCCTGCCAGGCATCCTGCCTGGCTTCGTGACGGAACACATCGGGTCTGCAGCTCTTGCCGGTACAACGTGTGGAGTCTGTCCACAGCTGTTTGCAGGGAAGGGCCTTCCAAGATGAGGCTTGATTCACTCCACGTGAGATCTTCTTGAGCTTCATCTCGGTGCTGGCTGTCGGAGCTGCTGAGCTCCGGGCTGCTTGAAGAGCTCGGCCTGGTAGTCGTCGGTGCTGTCTTGGCTGTTGCGGCGATTGGCCTCGTGTCCGGCTCCCGGTCCTCTGGCAGGGGTGGTGTGTCCTCTGGTCTGCATATGGCACCGGGAGGGGGTGGTGGTCCAGCACGACGTTCAGCCTCAGCACGAGTAGGAGGACCATGCCGAAGATGGTCCCGGGGCGTCTGGTCCACTGAGCCACTGTTGAGGCTGGCTCCATCATCGCCAGAGCCATCACTCATGCGAGGTGTTTCACCGAAGGACCCCAAAGACCCACCCACCCCGAAGGAAAGAAAACCCCAGCCCCACAAAAGAAAGAAGATTCGCGGGCACTCGTTGCTTGGGCCCAGGGGCTTCATCATCACCATCATCATCATTATCATCATCATCATCATCATCACCTTCACGTACCACTCTTATAGCTGCTTTTGTTATTCCACCTCCAACGCCGGCAGTCGTCCAAAATGCCGTGGGTTTCAGTTTTGAACCTTGCACCTGCGGCCTGCAATACCGGTCCTCAGCTTCAACCCAAACCCCGAAAACACAAACCCAAAACCCCAAAACCTAAACCCCAAAACTTAAAGCCGAAAGCTGAAGCCGGAAATCCTAAACCCTAAATGAACCAAAACTTCAAGCCATTCCAGAGCCACACCGAGAAACGGAGCCACTCGTGTTCCCGGTACCTTTTCCTGGCTTGCAAATGCGGCAAGGGAGATGCCGAAACCCGAAACCCCCAACCCTAAACCCCAAACCCCAAACCCTAAACCCCAAACCCTAAACCCATCCTAACAGCCGCTGGCATTAAAAAACCTCCCGATTCCCAGGATTCCGCACATCTTCAGCGTGGAGAGCTCGTTCTGGAACCTCGCAGGGCAGGCACAACTCTACAAAAGCACCCCTGCCACCGCGGTTTGGACGAACCTTCAAAACCCGACAACCCTGAACGCTGAACAGATTTTGAGGGTCCCAAACCCTACAAAACCCAAGAAAACCCTGTAGCCCGAAGTGGAACCCTGATAGAACCCTGCAACAACGTCATAACCCCCCTAAACCAGCAACTCCGCCCTAAACCCACGGGCACAGGCCGTACTTCGGCAAAGTTCGGGATTTCCGGGAGAAATCACATGCAGAGTTTGGAGGGGACTCGACGGCACTTCGGGCATTGGAGATTAGGGGCTTATGTAGCTTAGGGTAGCTTAGGGTTTAGGGTTTAGGGGTTTCCCGGCGTTGGCTTCCTTTTCAGGTTGAGTGCCCGGGTGGCTAGGTCACCAAAGAAAAAGGCTGGGCACCCGGCATCACGAGTTGGGACTTCCTTCTGACCTGGCGGCTTCCCGCAGGCATACGCGCCGCATATTCTGTAAGCATAAGGGTCTTAGGACTCAGATATCTGGGTTTAGGGTTTAGGGTTTACGGATAACTTACACACTCAAGCCGCGGAAATGATAACTTCTGTCCTCGCGCGACACAACACGCTACGCGCTTCGCCTACTTCGGGCTCCTCAGGCTGTGCCTCGAGACTAAACGGCTTAGGCTTAGAGAAGATATCGCACATCAAGCTACAACACATGGCATGAAAACGCAGACTAGTGGTAGCTCATAGGTCTTTTTTGGGTGCACATTCGTGGCTACCTGTTTCACACCACGATAAAGCTGCTTCAGCACTTCAGGCCCTGAACCATAGACCCTTAACCTTAAACCCTTAAACCCTGAACCCTACACCCTAAACCGCTCCAAAGGCTGAACACCCTCAACCCCCGACCTGCAGCCGATTACCCCGAAAACCAAGCCCCGTGTCCCCCAAAGCATGGCCCCAAAGTCAGCTTCCCTAAACGCTAAGCCCCCAAAACCCTAAACCTTAAACCCTAAACCCTAAACCCCAAACCCTAAACCTTAAACCCTAAACCCTTAAACACTGAACCCTAAACCCCGAAACCCCGAAACCTGAGCCCCAAAGCCAACCTGAAGCCCGAGCCCTAAAGCCTTAGCCCTCAGGGGTCTAGGCTTCACTGGTTCTGGTTTTGGGCGGTTTTGGGGCTTTGGGTCTGCCTGTGGACGTCGGCGGGCTCAAAGAAAAGGTGCCGTGCAGATAGGCACATATATCGGTTTAGGGTTTAGGGTCTAGGGTTTAGGGATAGGTGGGTGTCGCATCTCTAGGACCTAGGAGAAGCACCAAGCTCTTTCCAAGCCTGAACATTCACGACATCTGCTCCAAGCAAGAATCTCCAGGGCGGCAGAAGCTAACAAACAATTAACGGAGGCACTGCATAAAGTCGAGCAAGGAGCCCTCGGAAGAAGTAGTCCCATAATCACAGCAGATACTCCTGCTCATGCAGATTCGCTCCTACTCCTCATCCTCCTCCTATTGCCTATTGCTGTTGCTCCTCCGTTTGCTACTATCAGACGTACGGCTGCTCCTGACAGACATGCCGACATGAACATCAATGTCACCATCATCATCATCATCATCATCATCATCATGACCCTGGTTTTGATCATCGCAAGAACTCGATGTCCCTAAACCCTAAACCCCAAACCCTAAACCCTGGTCCAAACATCCTCACCCCTTTCCTTGCCCCACACTTTCAACCCACAGTAACTCTAGAAGGCACGAATTCGAAGCCCGAAGTCCTGCACCCTCTATGCATAGGAAACACAAACTTGTTGAAGCAATATGCCTACAAAGAGTTGGCTTCGATAGTTTGTGTTCAGGTGTTTAAAAGGGCCCTAATTAGCCCTGTTCCCAAAGCGTTGGCTTCAAGCCCAGCAACCGCAGCCCTCAGTCCTAAGCCGTTCGCATCCAACACACTCCCTGCCTTCCGAAGCATCTTCACTGCCCGCTCCGCACCCGTGGAGAGGTTGGTGCACCTAGGGCCGTGGAAAACTGCTGGGCATTGGAAGCTGCTTTGGGCTGCACTCAGAGAGCCCCTGTATTGAGGAATGAACTTGAACTGACCGAGGGCACCTGGTTAATGATCTAAACCTTGATTTTTGTCCATGCGGGTTGAAACCCCAAAACCCAACCCCGAACACCAGACTTCAAATCCCAGGCCTAGGCCCTCGTTGTGAAAATTGCTTTGAGGCTTAGGGCTTGGGATGCCCTTATCCCCAAACCCCTAAACCCCTAAACCCCTAAACCCTAAACCAGAAACCCTAAACCCCTAAACTACCCCTAAACCCTAAACCCCTAAACCCTAAACCCCTAAACCCTAAACCCTAAACCCGAAACGCTGAACCCTAAACCTCAAACCCTAAAGGCTAAAGCCCCAAGTAGGGCTGAGGTCCGAGGCCCTGGCTTTAGGGTCCAGGCTTTGTTCGTTGCGTGGGTTTCAGATTTCGGGGTTTGCGATGTGGGTTCTATAAGGGTTTAGGGTTCCTTTCAGGGTTCTATAAGGGTTTAACGGTGGGTGGCGTAGAAATTTGGGGTGTGTGGTTCTGGTTGCAGGATTTTGGTTGGTGCTGCACCTAACCACCGTAGCTTTCCTTTAAGGGCTCTATAGGGGTTTAAGGGTTCCTTTAAGGGTTCCTTTAAGGGTTCCTTTAAGGGTTCCTTTAAGGGTCTTAAGGGTTTAGGCCACCAAAGCCCTCGCAGTTACCCTCCGAGCCCCCCGCTTTACCACCCGTCCGAAGGAGCCCTCGCCGATCTTCTCCTCCTCAACGTCGTAGAAGTCATGGATATCACCGGCGTTGTTGATGATGTAGATGGCGAAGCCTGGCCCGTTGAGGGTTTTGGGTTTCGGCAACCCTGAAAGTTGGGTCAGTTGATGTGGAGGATGACACGGTCGATTCTCTACCTCTCTACCTACATGAACAACAGAAAATGCTTGCAAAACGTTTTCAGAAAACGTATGTCCTTCGAGGTTCAGGGCTGGTGGCGTCTTTTCAACACAGCCACGCCCACTGGCTTCGAAAGAGGGGCTCCGAAAAGCCATAATCTTCAAAAGACTGCAGGGATCAGGATTTGGGGCTTAAGGTTTGGGGTTTAATGTCTAGGGTTTAGGGTTTAGGGTTTCGGTATAGGGTTTAGGGTTTAGGGGTGTTTTTCGAAGCCAGGTCCTGTCTGCTTCTTCCAAACTGGCAGGTTGTGCATGATGTTTTGCTACATGGGCTTCAAAAGCGACTCTTGTCTGAGATACCCTTTAAACACTCTCTGCCACAGGGCCCACAACGCCATGACCCAAATCCTGTACGCTGAACATAAACAGCCCCGAAACATTCTTGCTTCAACCGAATTGAACAACATGCCCGTAACCTTCCTAGAGGACTGCTGCATCGTGTACACTCGAAGCAGTCTAAGTCAAACTCCCACCGCCCAAACCTAAATTAGACCTTTAGAGCACTCCTATGAATCTTTTCAGACATTGAAAAACAGCGAACAGAGTGTTGACCAATTGAAAAGTCTAGGGCTTGGGGTTTAAGGATTAGGATCGATGTTTAGGGTTTTAGGCTTCTTGTGTGGGTTTTGGGGTTTTGGATTGAAGGTCTGGTTCCCATGAGATCCTAGCATTACCTACAAATTCCAACATCCCAAGATTTCCAAGCCCTAAACCCTAAACCCTAAACCGTTCCTACTCCGAACCGGTGAAGCCTCACCCCTCAACTCGACCCGGTCCCGGAGCCCGAGACGCGAAACCCTGTGCCACCCTAAACCCTAAACCCTAAACCCTAAACCCCTAAACCCCTAAACCCCTAAACCGTAACCCTAAACCCCTAAACCCCTAAACCCCCAAACCCTAAACCCAAACCCTGAACCGAGACATCCTCACCTGGTTGGTCCTTTAAAGCCTCTGAAAAATATTAGTCAATAGGGTTCTCTTAAGCCCAATAAGGGAAACGCTAAATCCTAAACGCTAAATCCTAAACCCTAAACCCTAAATCCTAAACCCTAAATCCTAAATCCTAAACCCTAAAATATGAAATATCCCAGAGGCCTACCTAGTCACCCACAAAGGGGGAACCCGAGACCAGGCATTTTCAGCTGCTTCGGGTTTGGGGCTTTCAGGGTTTAGTGTTTAGGGGTTTAGGGCTTTCAGGGTTTAGGGTTTAGGGTGTAGGGCTTTCAGGGTTTAGGGTTTAGAGGAACCCTGATAACCCAAGGGCCCAAATCGTTGCCGGGCGTGCTGTGCTGCTCCTCCTCCTCCTCTTCCAGTAGGCTGTGGTCCTTTCAAGGCGCGGATAGCTGTTGAGGATGTTGAGGCTTTGGCTTTAGGGATTAGGGTTTAGGGGTTTAGGGGTTTAGGGGTTTAGGGCCTAGTTTAGGGTTCAGGGCTTAGGGTTTAGGCTTTTGGGCTTGGGGCTTGCGGGTTTACGGCTTAGGGGTTTGGGGTTGGGAGTTGGTGGCCTTTAGTGTTTGGGGTTAGCTTCTAAACCCTAAACTCTAAACCCAAAGCCCGCCAAACCCTAAACCCTGAACCCTCAAACCCCGAGCAGGTTTCGCAGCCTTTCCGGGGTTTTTTCGGGCTTCAGGAGTCCACAGCTCGGGCCAGGTAGTTCACACGGTTGCTATGAGAGCTTCGGGGTGGGTTTGGGATGGTTTAGAGTTTTAGGGTCTAGGGTTTAGGGTTTTTGGGGTTTAGGGTTTAGGGTTTTGGGTTTTGGGTTTTGGGCTTGGGG